CCTCAACACTAAATAAAAGAACAAGATTTATGTAATGAGGTCATCATAATTCATCTGAGTGTTATATACACCTTGAGAAAAGGTGATGTCCATGTTTAGTTATAATTTGATGGCAAAAAAATTGAAAAATTATCACTTCAAAAGCAATAAGATAAAATGAGAGGGATGTGCATAGAAAATTCGAAGAAAACCTAAGTCCCCCAAAGCCGCCTAAGCAACAAGCAAATCTACGGTTCGTACATTAGCGGCCTCCGTGTTATTACATTATCGGCCGGTTTTGGGTTATTACATTATCGGCCGATTTTATTACATTATGGGTCGCTTGGGTTATTACTCTATCGGTCTATTGTTGTCACATTATCGGCCGATTTTTGTTACATTTATTGGCTTGTATTACATTATTGGCCGGTTGTTAGAATTATCGGCCGTAACACCCGTCACCACTACGTCCGAATCGTTTGTCGAGCGAGACACTCCCTTGTCCCTCGTCGCTCTGGTTCAACTAGCCTGAGTCTTTACGTAGCTCGCTGGGAAGGGCTGATGGCTTTGCACTATGATTGGCTACAATGTGTAGGACCTGCGACCGCGAGGTTGTCAATTTCTAAGTGTTGTTTAATTTGCTAGGTTCGCCAATTGCAATGTTTGGGCAAGGGCAAAGTGCATGAGAAAAACATGGCCTTGGTACAAGAACAGTGTGGTAATCAATTTTATCTTCTCGCTAAGTGTCTTTAGGCGATATATCTGTAATCATTGATTATAGCATTCAATTTTGGATGAACTAATAACGTGTAATGAGAATATTTTGAGCAATAAGAAAGAAAGGGAAAACAAATTGACAAAAAATATTGAGACAACTCGCACGCCTGGCAAGAATTTACCCACAATGATCTGGGCGTCGTTGGCTAAGACCGCGCGTGACGTATTTCCTTCCCAGCAATCTATGCAGGGTCATCAACCCTTCCCAGCGCCGACGAATAAAGCCCGGATCCTCCTCGTCTCCACGCTGTGCCAATGGTGCAGTGCGCTCATTGCGCTCACCTCATTCGAGACTAAGCGGCAGTGCGGTCGGTGATGCCCTGTACAACACAGTGGTCCGGGACAGCTCCCAGTACGGCCCAAGACAGGTCTAAGTTTTGCAATGCATCAGTACCTTCCCCATACCGTGTGATTTGCATTTCTAATGGTCCTGCCAAGCAGTAGTTTGGTTACATACAACTTTGGATATCACGTGTTGCACCGTTATGTTAAGCTCCTTCACAACCACATCTGAACTTAAATAAAGCAATACATAAACTAGAAAAATGTGTTTGTGAACAAACACATAGCTGTTCCAAAATGTTTTTATTGTCTTTTGATGACTGTCAATGGGTACCATAAGTTTGCAATTAACTGTATTAAAATAATTGCCAAAGTGGCATGTATAACAAAAAACAAATTATCACTACAATTGAACGTATAGTTCACGAGATATAATTCTTGTGTTAAAATACTTCTTCCGGTCAAACAGGAAGTAGAGGTCACATGAGGGCAAAATATCCATTTTCATTTATAACCCTACACATACCAAATTTGACTTCAATCGGGCCAATAGTTTTCCAGTTATTAGACTAAAAAGAAAACAAATATTGAAGAACTGAAAAACAATAAAAAGTATTTTAATAATATTGTAATACAATTATCTGTCCATAGACTTCTAAAGTACTGTAAATTATCAATCCGATTAGATGTTATAAGTCACGAGATACAATGATTTTGTTTTCACATACAACTTCCGGTCAAACCGGAAGTAGAGGTCACATGAGGTCAAGATTTCAATTTGCAACTATAACACGTCCCTGACTATGTGCATACCAAATTTGAAATAAATCGGTCAAATAGTTTACTAGTTATTAGACTGTAAAGAATGAACTTTTGAATTGAGGTCACGTGACCCCTGATGACGTCCCGATTAAAAAAAATTTGCGGTACTTGTTCTGTTGATGGATAATTGTTATACCAAGTTTGAAATTGGTTAGACTTAAAATAATTGCCGAAGTGCCCCTTAGGATAAAAAACAGCGGGAAAAGAAAAAAAATTAACGATTACAAAAGCTTCTCCCAATTTAGATTGGGAACAGCCAAAAAAAGAGAGAGATATATAACGATTACAATAGCTGTTCCCAACAGAGATTGGGAACAGCTAAAAAAACTTTAACGAAAACAACATCTGTTCACAATTGAGATAATGCAAGAGAAGTGAGAGCAACGTCCCGCCACGTTCCATCATGTCCATGCTCGACCAGTCCATTAGTGACGTCATTACACTTGGGCAGCCTCCAGAGGCCCGCTCGCTAGCCGGGGTAGTGGAGGCTGACACCAGGGCAGGCACGAAGATCACGTGATAGCTAAACGAACAGTCTCGTGTAAGTTGATTTACACGTGTAAGTGTAACCTGGAAAAATGGAACACTAGACGAAGACAACTCTGGGGGAAATCGCTCGCACAAAATACTCCCTAACTAGGGATCAACTAAGGACGAATCGCGAGGTCTTTCTAAAAAAAACAATAAGACAGGACAGAAGAAGAGTTGGATCTCCAAAAAAAAGTCAAAAGAAAAAAAACTGTTTTGTTCAACAACCAAGAACCAATTTAGAAAAAAATAAATAATTTACAATCTATTAAGTAACTTCTTAGCCGACAAAAAAGTAACAAAAATGAAAAGTCAAAGAAAAGTAAAAAAAAAACAAAAACCCAAAATTAGTGAAAATACCTCATACCGTAACCTTGAGACCTGGAAATTCAATTCTTCAGACTAGTAAACCTTAACCTTTTAGTAAAAGACTCTCGATAAATATCAGCAGTACAAAAAAAGGAACCAGGTACTAAGAAAATAACTACCCCCCAAAAGACCAAACCAGAACCAAACCAAACGCAAAACCCAAAACCAAACACAGTATCAAGAAAAGGCACAAATCAATTACAATCAAACTTCAACAACTTGTGCAGAAAAAAAAAATGGAAAACTTATAAATGAATGCTACAACAAAGAACTATTCAGTGCATTATACAAGGCAAGTACATGTGAAGGCTTCATCCTAATCATAACCTAAGCAGGGGGCTTACATGTATATACAAGAAGTCAGGCTGAACTCCTGAATAATCATGATGCAATAAACAAAGGACTTGGCCACTTCTTGGAAGGCAGGCAACACTAATCCTAATCCCTAGTCGTAAACTAAAATTGCTCCAACCACGTGTTGAGGCATAGGAAGGGTGAACAAAGAAAACTGTCTTGTCCAGGATACATGTTCAACCACATGGCAATAGAAAAATACAAAAGTTTACACATATGCCAAAAACACATAACTAAAATATACAAGGATAAAATGGAAAGGTTAAATCTGTTCATAAAACGTCAGGCACTTTAAATCTAAGGCTGTAAAAGAAGGAGGAACTTCCAGATCCTAAATTTGTTCCACTGTCAACACCTCAACACCTCACTTCAGTGCATTAGCTCACAAAAACCCATGTTCTCCAAAGTATGGTAACCTTACATGTACGTTAGAAACACTCTCCTAAAAGACTGCTTACAAGTGAAATCTAAGAGCAATCCTAGGAACACTTCGATTTGATCTTCTATTGGATAAACACATGAACTGCTAAAACCAAATAAATTATCCAAAGAAACACAAAACTTCCTCGAATTAAAATAAACTACATATCCTTTCCAGAATGCACCCAAAAGGGAAAAAAATATTCAAGAAGCCCAAGGATCGGAAATGATGAAACAGCTTATATGGCTGGGCTAATTCTGCTTAACTCCAGGAACTCAGTCTTCTTCTATCTAAGCTTCAACTCTCTTACAAAACTAAACTGTAAAGTAAAAAAATGGAACTATTTTCTAACTCATCAAAGAGAACAATTTTCTAGGCACATGGTTCTTATGATTTAACACAAATAAATAAATGATAATTGACTGTTTAAACTTATACAAAAGTTAGAAACTCACCAATTCCACTGCAGGTCCTACACATCTTCAGAGGAGACTTTATGTACATGTGCACTCCTTGGCTGCTGACCTGCTTACTGAACAAAGACCCTAAGCATGCCTGGTCATAGAGCTGCATGCCTCTTAAACAACACTTTACACAGGGGTACACACAATGCAGGATTTTGCTGGGTAAAGTGGGGGGTACCACTCCTATATAACTACGTGGACTAAGAAAAAAAGAAAGATTAAACTCACCTCTACTACATAAGCTAATTGAACGCGCCAACTATGTGCTACAGCGGTCGTAATTAGTGAAAAATTATTGGTCACGAACTGATCACGTGATATGCCACAAGCGCGCATGCATCATTCAGACGTCCATCGCACTGACGATTTTGCCAGGCCGCAAAAAATGATAGATAACAGTGATCTTTCCCACAGTTGATGTGTCGTGTCTACTGCGTTGTAATAGTTTATTCTTTGGTGCGAGGGTACATAGCTGTGGTGCTACTGCGCACCAACTATTGTAGGAAATGTGATCCGTGTGGGGGACATTGAAGCCTGTGTCTGTTCACAAGTCCCACTCCCTTCACTCTGGCTATACATGACGGAGACCCGCGGGCTAGGAAACTTCTGTTCGTGCACCGTGGGACACGAGTATGCTCTGATCACCGTTTCTGCTGCGATTGCCATTGCTTGTTTATTTCAATGCTTATATGCCGTTATCTTCTCGTATACTCCTCCATTTTGAAATTCAACCAATACTACGGACCAGTTATTGTTAGAGATGTGAATTATGTGGGGGACACTGAAGTACTGTGTACGTTCGTAAGTGCTACTCCCTGTGCTTTATGAATCCCAGGTTTCTGTAGTAATAAACCAGTTTGTTATAAATCGTAGATTTCCCCAAAAGACCATTGAACAAACAAAGAAACAAACACCCCAACACCCCAACAAACAAACAAAACAGGTCAACAAAGGACATCACAATCAATAACTTTCCTTGTAATTTAATATATAATTCGCTGTTCAAGTGTTTCAAAGTTTTTTAGTTTATCTTGCAATAAAATATGCATATATATACCACACATAATTAGACCCATAAGATCAATCCACGACCCATGGGTATAACAAAAACCATTGCTACCTGCTGTGACGCAGTCCATGGGTTTTGTACACCCTTGGGAGAAATGGCACCCTCCACGCGAGTCCGCGGCTTCGCCTTGAGTACCATTTGCCCCCCCCCCCAGTACAAAACACCGTGGACCCCTACATCGCAAGCACCAATTGTTAAATGCCAGCCGACATAACGCCTGATGCTACTCAACAGAATCGCGGTTGAGCTGTTTGCATTTGTATAAATATCAATATACACTGTTACGTAATCAGTACCAGCGCGTAAAGATTGCAGTGCGTTCGTGAGAAAATCCCTTAAAGCCTCATGGTCTAGTCGTGCCAGGTCTGTGTTATCTCTATTTTATATGTGCTGCCGTCGTAGCTGAATTTCTTTGCGACGAATCAAGCGCTCTGATATTCCGATTATTCGTGTTTCTTATTTTGAAGCTCGCTCTGCTCAACACCGTCATGCTCACTAAATGGAGATTTCAGTGTCTTTTGTGGGGCATGGTCTCTGCTTATCTCACTGTGTCTGTCATCGAGGTATATGTGAAAAAAGAAACTTCTTGGTTGTCACTGGCTGTCACAGGTAAGCAATGACATGTGAGGTCGTAGATATGTCTCAACTACACTTTGGAACATCCAGCTGGTTTTGGACTGGCCACTTAGGACTGCGGTTGGCTCAATGGTCTCAACGTTAATAGGAATCGATTGTCATGATGTAACGTGACTGACCAGTTTTGATAACGTTCAAGACATGTTGTACCAGAGATGAAGGCTCGAGTCAGTTGACTTGGACTTGCAAGTAATGACTTGCTACCCCTCTTGTACTTGAGCTACGCTTTGGTAACACGGCCAGCGGTGTCATGCTTTGTCGTTTTCAAGACGGATGAACTATGATAAATTGGCAAAGATATACAGATTACCCATGTCTTCCTGACTTGTACATCGTTTATAACAAGCTTAAAACCCAGCACACATTTTCTTTCGTTATATCGCCCGATTGTTAGTGGGCTTGGTGTAAGCATCCATGGTGTACTGTTGGACTATGTAGTTCTATGTCGCTCTTTTCGGTACCGGTACGTAATCTGATAAAATAGGTTGGAATTTCGCGGTCTCGTAGATGTTACGTTATTTAAAGATAACCAGTGGCTGAATTGGGGAGATTTAACGAGTTATTTAGCAAAACAAAGTCTCTTTCTTTTTTTTTTACAGAGCGTTTCAAGTTTAAAGCAAACTCACATAAATGGTACCAGGCAAAGATCCGCGATTATTAACTGTAACACCCGCTACCGATCCCTCTGAAAGACCATTCATAAATACCTTTATTTTAAGTCAGAGAGTCAAAAGAAGTCAACATATGATGGATTTCTAACAATTTCGTTCTAGAACTTAACTTCATTTTCCCCAACACCCCTTCTATGTTATGGTATATTCCTTGCGTAAGTTGTCCAAACGAATATATCTCCCTATAGGGGGCCTATGGAGATATTGCTGAACATAGGGAGACTGTCTGAGGTTTTAATGAAGATATCGTAAGTTGTTTTTTCTATTTCAAATCTATCTGAATGAGAGAACAGCCACACCGTGCACAAACTCAACTGGTTGCAAAACCAAGCTGGTTGTCATTGGTTAATTGCAAAATGTATACTCTCAGAGGTTACGTATATACATTAAGTAAAAAAGGCCTGTCGAAATCATGTAATACATGGCAGTACCATGCACAATACCCAGACCTAAAATACAGCGATTGACTTATATCAGTATATGTTATGCAAGTGCCAAACTGATTTAGCAAAGCATAATATCCTTATTTTACTGACCATCTTTACAACCATTTGTCCATTTACGACCATCATCCAAAGCTTTTGCAACCCCTGCATAATACACTTAGTAATCTTATTTGTTGACTACTTTCACTTTCCTCCTTCCCTCTCCAATAATCCACACTGACACCATTGCACTACTGACTAGGCCAGGCAATGTTTTAAGAAAATCTGAAAATGAGACGAAAAGAATTGACACTGTAACTGACACTGGCCTAGAGCTATACCAGGAATTAATTAATTAATTACGGATAACACTTCAGGCTCAAGAGTTCCGAAATGGAATCAAACAACTCTAGTTTTACCAGCCAATGCAGAGACTCCACGTAGAAAAAAAAGAAAATATTTTTAATATTCTTTTCAGGTTTTTTTGTGGCATGTGGTAGCCTTTCCACGATGATTGCGTTTCACATCTCAACACTGCGATGTTCCGAGACTCACACTCTAATGACGCTCCTGTTGGAATACACCTACTTCCAGTTCATTGGTCTGTTTGGCCCGCTTATTGTATCAAAGCTCACAAAGGCCTGGAAAGAGCCGCGCAAAGCGCAGGAAACATTTCTCAGGGAATTAATCTCCCGTGATGCGAATACGGAGTACGGCAAACGATACTTAAAAGGCATAAAATCACTGCAAGATTTCCGAGACAAACATCCACTCACCAAGTATGACCACTACCAGGATTACTTCCAGAGACTGGCGGACGGAGAGAAGAACGTCTGTGTGGCGACCAAAGTGGAAAGGTTTGGACTGTCTTCGGGTACCACGGGCAAGGGAAAGCTTATCCCACTGGTGATCTCGAAAAGTGGGAGACTAGTAGCAGGTGTGTATCTCCAACGCCTGGCAGGGGTTAGTCCCGTCCAAAAGATAGCTACTATATATTGCAGATCTGCCCATCGATTTACAAAATCCGGACTTCTTGTGGCGGCAGTGTCATTCATCCCGGAAAGCAGAGCCTCGAAGTTCTTGACAGGTTCCCTTTCGAACACGCCTTTCCCTGCTTACAAGATTTCAACGGACTTTGAAGCAACCTACGTCCACCTTCTTTTTTCTCTAACGGACAAAAACATTTCGGTGTTCCTGACCCCATTTGCGTCGCAGGTTTACAGGGCGTTTGCAGTGCTTGAGGACAAACAAGACATGTTGTTGGCGGATTTGTCTCAAGGCAAGATAAATCCTAACTTGAACCTAGATGAAGATATTCGACAGTCCGTGAATGCTGCATTGAAGCCCAACCCAGCTAGGGCTGATGAGCTGAGAGCGGAGTTTGCTCGAGGCTTTGTAGGTATCGCTAGCCGGATCTGGCCGTATCTTAAGTGTGTTCTCACAATTGACGTTTCGGGGTACATGAAGAAACTCCAGGAAAACTACACCAAAGGTCTGTATCATTCGTATAGGTTAAATTGTTTGAAGATATAAATGTAATCACAGGCCATAAAATAAGGAGGTCCGCTTAAATTATTAGTTTAAGGACGCCAAGGCAAAGGAAGACGGGCAGGAAGAGTCCAAGTGTAACTGTCTCAATTAGACAGAGTTTTATTTATATGTCAACTTTTGAGGGTTCAAATGTCCAGGTATGATTGCAATTAAATGATTCAGATCTCTAGTTATTCTTTTACATGAAATGCCATAAGGGCCTATTCCCCGAATTCCTCAAATTCCAATTACTGTACTCAAATTCACAATTTCCTCAAATTCCCCGAATGCCAGGCCGGTGAGCGACCGTGGACTTGGCCTTCCAGACAGCACCTAATTAATGAATAGTGTATGGAGTAAAGATCGAAACACTAGTGTAAATCATACTAGTCGCCACACAAACAAACAGCTGAAATACAATGTTGAGTGAACACGACAATATCACATTACGCTTCACGTAAAACTTTCACATTTAAGACGGTGAATTCTCCCTCAAAATCACTCATTCCGCGTTCTGCTATATGACCCCAATAATCATCAAGTCGGATCACACACTATGGAATCATAGATTGCGAAGGTGAAGAGACTATCAGCTATTACAGTGCGAAAAGCTAGTTTTCATGGTAACAGATTAATCCCAAGATACTCACTCTGTGGTGCCCACACTGGAAAGGATTATAATTATTACTCGCACGCCCACCGCACTTCCTTCGCGGGAATTTGTTATACATTTCTAACGGGCTGGGCGGCGTGCCAAATAAACTATAGTGCCCCCTAAAACACGCTTCCCTATATAAATACACTTAATTTAAAAATAGAGACACTGGGGGCAGATGCAGAAACTTTCTGGGGTGAGCCCGTTTGTCTTTTTATGTCTCATTTTCACAGGACACAAGAAATGCACTGTTACCGATGTACTTATCTAGCTTCTTATGAGTGGCAGGATGTCATCTTCTTTAAAACTGCTAAAGTTGTTACTTCAGTTTAATTTTGTGTGAGGGGTGAGTGTGTGTGAGGGGTGCTGACCCCCAACTCCTCTGAATCCACGCCTTGACAGTTCACACATTCACATTTTTGCTATACCTTTCAATATGTTAAAATTCTGTAGAGAAGTAGTGATTTGCCCTGCCAATTGGTCCTTTAAAACGCTTTGCAATTGCTCTCTGACTTTATCAAATTTGTCAGACAGGGTTTTCGTTCTAAAATTGGTGATGCCTACTTGACTGAGGGCGCTGTTGCCATGATGTGATCCAGGGCAGACAAAGATCGGTGCTTAGGTTTTTCTGTTCAAATTGATAACCCAGAATTTACTTACTGAGAATTTGCATTTCCGAGAAAGGGATTGATGATTATACGTTAACAACAATGAATCACCGAAACTATAAACTTCAGACCAAAATGCAGCATTTTTGGTGTACAAACCAATGTAAATTGGTTTTGCTGATGAATGTGGAAAAACTCAGTACAAAAAACAGTAAAAAATATACAATGAGATATCGAAACAAAAAGTTGAAAGTAGGGTTAGGGTTAAAAAAAAAAAGTCATGTAGTACACCAATAATATGTGAAATACACAATGTATGCCATGTATAGTATTGTCAATGTTTCTGCTTGTCCGTAAAAGTGAGACAATTTATAAAAAACCTCCGTCCTGACCCCCTCTGGAAAAATTCCTGGATCCTACCCTGAATGGGTAAGTTTAAATTGCATGTGAGAATCAGACGAGCAGGTCACCTCACTTTTTTCAGCGTATTCATAGACTCATTAAGATCCTAAAAAATTGAAACTTCTAAGCCAAGATTTCTTTTGAAACCTGGCTGCATTAAAACACAGGCACCAAGTTCTATAGCCCTTCGTATGCCTGCACTGAGTGCCTATCCCTGGGTATCAACCTGTGGATGGATGGAAGACCTCAACAGTATGTCCTATTGCCTAGTGAAGTCATGTTGGAGTTTATCCCAGAGGAATTCAGGTATGAATTCTGGACACGAAATGGAATCACCGCAGCACCTGCTTATTGTTTGTTAGTTTTTGCCAGTCTCAGAGTAAATCATACCACAATACCTCACAGCAACTCCATGGCATGAGTGGGGAAAGATTCAAGTAACGACTCAATGACTTCTTCACATCTGCCATTTTGACAGCAGTTTGAATACCAGTTGAATGGACGAGTTTGCCGTTGGCAGTATTCCAATGTTGCTAGGCATAGCTTACTTCTAGGGTCTCTCCTCAATTTCCAAACTTGTTGGGGGTTTCCCTGACCAGCAGCTAGGTTCCTGCTGGAAGGAGGTACATTTTAAGATGTAATTTGTAATCCTGTTTGTCTTAGTTACAAGGTGTGTGACTTTCGTAAATTTCTTGCAGTGGAGGGGATAGTCCTGAGACACTGCTAATTGATGAGGTCGAGGTTGGCAAGCGCTACGAGACTGTAATAACCTCCATTTCAGGGTTTTACCGCTACCGCATGGGTGACGTGGTGGAGGTTGTTGGTTTCCATGAGAACTGCCCAGTGATTCAGGTTAAATACAGGTGTGTGTTTCAACTTGCTGAATTTATGACGTATAAATCAGCGATGTTAAGTCCATATCGAAACCAAGCACGAGTAAGAAACCCTTTGTCACTGGTAATTTGAATTGCATTCTTATAACTTTGAAACAGGGTGACGTGTTCCTTACTTGTGATAGACATCCGAGGTCTGCACTAAAAATTCCTAGAAACTTGACATAACATGGTAACTTAAATTAATTCAAAAGAAAAATTCTAAGTTCAGGAAGATGTAAATAGGGGATGTTCACAGAAAATTCATACCTACTTGATAGACAAACTGGTTTTGTTCATTTTAGACTCGGGAAGTGCTAGCATCTGCATACACTACATAAGGCTGTTTCTGTGGATTTTTGTTTAATTCAGAACGGGCGAGCTGCTCAATTTACGCAGCGAGAAGATTAACAAGCTTGTCGTGAACAACGCCATACAGGAAAGCTTGGGAAACTGGCCAGGAGTCACACTCGTGGAATGGACATGCGCAGAAAGTCCACTGCTTTACGAAGATCAGGACGGTAAGGGGTCGAAAACAATACCAGTCCAGGTATCATCTTGCTATAAATGCCTCCATAAATAGACAGCCGTCACCAGTGGCGGAACGATTTTCAAGGGGGGGGGGCAGTTTTTAGACCATCCGGCATCAGCCATTAATATGCCAATCCATTCTGCACCATCCCATTATAGGACCTGCAAAAAATAGAGGGTCAAGCCCCCGATGAAAATGTGGGGGGGGGAGGGCTGGCCTTCTGCTCCACCCATGCTTCCGCCGCCAGTGAAAGCAGTTTCATTGATATTGAAAACTGAGTGATAAGCAGTCTAATAACCTGTATTTTGGGGGCGAAAGGGGCGCTGCCACGACGCTATTTGCGGGACCACACACGTCAGAAGTCTACGTGTTAACACCTTAAAAACAACTAAAGCTTAAAGACCATTTAAAAATTCCGGCACGTTACTACACGCGTACAGTGTACGTAGCAGTTGAATCCATTGATAAAGATGATCTTTGGCATTCAAGCTTGTCTTTAAATTGACCAGTTGAACTCAAACTGACTGGATATTTGACGTACACTCATCCAAATTTATTTGTGATTTGTCAGTCCTTCAAAATTGCTCTGTGGCCACTCAAAATTCTGAGTGCCTCGCTCAGTAGCCATCGAGAAATGGAAATGTTTTAAACTTTCATTAATTATTAGCACGTGGAATTTATGTATCTATAAAGATATGCATTGCAAATACAAGTTATTAATTTGATACTAGGATTTCATAGTTGCTGACAGCGGGGAATGTGCCCAGCACTAACAAAATTTTAGACTAACGTCGAGGATAAAACTGAACCCCAAAGCTAGAAATTTTAAATTCTTTGAAGGTAAGTTTTTGTTTGGTTAATTCTTTCCATTTTTGAACCTTATGTTTTTGGCTTATTTCACAGGTGTCGATTTTGACATGTTCTATATGCTGTTCGTCGAGTTTGATTCACTAGAGAACTTACGTTTATCGGAAGAGCAAAAATCATTGGTAATTATCGTAACATAGATTCAAATCTGTCTTTTTCCACTTTTAATGTTGTGATGTCTGTGAAGAGTTGATATTTGATGAAAATGTGCCTTTTTTATCTTCCGCAACCTGTGAAACCAAATGGAGAGTCTTTTGTACATATCATTTTTAGTTTGACAAGTCCCTCCGTAAACAACATGAGTTTTACGACAATTATCGGCAAGTTGGCACCATCAGCGAAGCTCGAGTGATGATCGTTCTCCCAGGATCCTTCAAAAAGTTACAAGACTTCACCATAGCGAACTCGACGGCTAGTTATAACCAGTTCAAGATGCCCAAAAAATTACGGACAAAGGCTACCGTGGACTTTCTCATGAAGTTTGTGGTGGACGTGTATAACTCTAACCTTTAACTGGAAAAAAAGCTGTGGGCAAAGTTAGGCAGCCATTTCTGTCACGCCCCTACTTAATGTATCTTTGTGCTTCTTATTTCTGGATGTGTTCAATCTTAATGAGATCTGTCAACCGATAACCTCACACGTATGAGTTTGTGACGTCAGCATTAGAAATTTTATTTACTTTCAGTTACCATTTACAGACTTTGGTGTTAAAAGCCACAAAACGACAACACACTCTGTCCCTAGTCGGAATCAAACTACGCATTATAACATGTAAAAAAAAATACATTTCATAGTCGTTTGTGAACTAGTGAAGTTCATTTCCGACCAAAAGAGCCTCTCTTTCTCAGAATACAGCCCCGCTATTGTCCAGGTCGAGGCCCATAGGGTAGACAAAAGGAGAACATCTCAGCTGTTATGGATTTCTGAAAATTACGCTATAAAGTGTATGTTTTTCATCCTGATGGTTGATTTTTGTGATTTTATATATCAACATTGTGGATATGATATATACTAAAACCGTTTAAATTTATCTACATGCACACTTAAATTTCTTGAATAGTTTCACATTCACTTATTTCTTCAGTTATTTGAAACAGACTGTACAAATTAGTGTTGTGGTTTTGTGTTTGTGTTGCGTGGTTTGCTTTGTTTGTTGTCGTTAACTCTTCTGTAATAAGCCTGCCTGCAGCTTTGCGGTGCTTACATGTGTTGAATACTGCGAAAGGCACACGTACATTAGGAATTTAGTGACATGTTTCGGTAAGAGGACATTTTCATAGTAAGCCTTTCAATGTGTGTTGTATTAAATATATTCGCCGGTGGTTGAGAGCACCTGCATCAGTCACCGTCAGAAAGCTTGACTATCGTTCTCTTCTTTTGCTACGTTTTGAAACTTTTCTTTGAAAGCCCCGATTAATCCTTTCCTTGTTTAAGTCAAATCTAATTTCCCGGGGAACATAACTCACAAGGGTTTATCTACAGCCAAGTTACTGTTTTGTAGGGGAGGGGTTGTCTAAAAAGTGGATTTTTTATGTTACCTTTTACTGCATTTCCGAAAGTAGAGACTGAAATGGAGGGAATTTTAAATGGAAATAAAATTATCCAGAAAAAGTCACCTCTCTTTACACCCCACATTGATTTCAAACCCTTTGAAACATCTGAAATGTGGATATTTGCCGGAACTTCATGACGGTACATATGACTAGAGATTGATTCATTAATATGCAGAATCGTGGTCACCTTGAGCTTGAAAATCAACGTATAAACCGTGGTTCATATGCCGAAAATTATGGTATACTTAAAATATTCGGTACACACACAAAAACAAACACACCTGTTTTACATACAAAGTGTGGACATTCCTCTGTTCTCCTGTGGTTAGGCCTAAGTAAACTTGAGGAAAAAGCTCCTTTTCTCCAACTAGGTTAACTCCTTCGAGCTGGATTTTTGATGATGATTTCCTGGACTGTTCCTCTTTATTTTGCCACAAATAATCTTGACCCGAAAATGCCTCTGAACTGTTCTTCAGAGAGGGGGAAACATTGTGTGGACGTGTACGTGTCCCCACAACGTCATTGCATCCTACATTATTTGGACTTCATTTGTGCAGAGGTCCACGCTATGTATGCCACGCCTGCATACGTACCCATACTACCCACACACCAATTGGATTCGTCGCTGGGTACCGTCGACCCTCAGGGTGCAGACCACTAATTCAAGTGAGAATTTCTGGCCAGCTCATTAGCATTAAAAGTGCCCCCCAACAGTATCTTTTGAGAAAGGAGATTGTTTGGCCCCCAAAATGGTGCAATTGTGTAAATTGTTGCCGGAATCAACTCCCTGGGTCTTTGAGCTTTCATATGA